CTCTCAATATTGCCATGCTGTGTCTTTTCTGAAATCCAGGAGGGCTTGTATCTCAAACACCGATCTCAAGCATTTGTTTAGATTGTTTAGACCCCACCCTGCCCACATCATTTGGCCTTCAGCCTGAACTCTGGTGACATTTAATATTGAAAGCAAATTGTGACCAGTTGGTGAAATAACACAGGATGAAAATTCAGATTAAACTGAAGCTGCCTTCAGTTTCTGGAGAAACAGAAGCTAGAGAAAGAAAGTAACTTACACAACTGACAGTAAAATCCCGCTATTTCAGACTTCAGGTGAGGAAATTTTAAATTTTGATGTGCTCCCAATATTAAATGGGGTGGGGGATCCCTGCATGTTATAAATTCTTAGATAAAGGAGAGGGCTACAAGTAGCTGCAAGGGGTTTGTTGTTTCTGCTCCCTCAGGAAACCCTACTCAGTTATAATGGTTTTCGAAGTTGTAGCTGTGTTAGTCTTTGCAAACATGAACAAGATAAGCAGAACAAAACAGAAGCAAAAAAATAGCCATTAATGCACCTTAAAGACTAACAGCTATATTTTAATGTAAGCTTTCATGGAACAACCACACTTCTTCAGACATAATAAGAGAGTTTTCCCAGGATAGCAAAGTTAGAGGGAAGGCTGCTTCATTGGCCAGAGGAAGAAGGACTGCCAAGTGGCTTCCAGGGTCTTGGCCACCCACCTCCAGCAGGGGAAGATCTTATGGATCTACTTCTAACCAGTTCATTTCTAACACCATTGTCAAATTGGTCTCCCTCTACTTTCTTTCCTTCCTGTGTCGTGTCATTTCACTTTATAAGCTGACATCTCTCTCTCTCTCTTTTTAACTAACGCAAGTTGTCTCAAGAAGCAATATTAAGGTGGGAAAACAGAATAAAATATACTGTGAATATTAGTGTTGCCAACATGAGGGTTTGGGCAAATAAACAGCAAGCATGGTTAAAAGTACTGTATATGCAAACAGGATTAATTGTGTGTAAATCCATTTTACATGGGGTGGAGGTGGACTCATGGGCCTCTAGTTGTTGTTTTTTACTTTTCCTCCCAGCATAACTAATAGTGAGGTGTGATGGGAGTGCAGGCCAACAACATATGCAGGGCCACAGGGGTCCACCCGTGCCAGCCAGAACAATAATGTTTGGAGGAGACAGAACAGGGAGCCAAATAACCATCCATTTGTATTGCCTTCCATCACAGGCAGTCTCTTGGTAGAGCTCCAGGCCAGAGGGTCCCAGAGAGTAGAGACCTTTGCAAACACACCCACATTATTTCCATTAACTTTGAATGCGGGGGGATTTAACCTGAAACTTGGCATGCCCTTTCTCAGTAAAGCTGCAGCCCGCAGAGGGTATGGCAGTTGCACAAATGTCTGTATCATAAAAGGCATGCACCTGGAGATCTAAGGAGACGGGGGGGGGGGGGTGAATCTGCCAGAAGGATATGATTAACAGAGAGTAGCTATTTTTAAAAGATATTCCTGCACTAGGGATCAAACTTTCTGCATGCAGCATCTCAGCACTGATCACTGCTACAAGCTGATTGCTTCCAGTTACATTACCGTGATCTGGAACAGTTATTTGTATGCATGTATCTTAATGTGGACTGTACATTCCAGCTGGTGAAATCATGGGTGTTTCCTATGGGAGGGGCCTCTCAGGCGACTGATCTCTCTTGCTATCAGTGGCCTGGGAGGGGAAAAGAGAAAACCATCCCCCTCCGCAGTGGACCCGTTGAGCTGGCAAATGCCAAGCTTATCTCCACGCCACCTAAATAGCCTCTCTTTAATCTGCAACACAGGTGGCTCTGAATAGGGTTTGGCAAAGCATTCTGGGCATCCCAGAGCCCAGGGAGATGGGAGGATGGCACTCACGTGGCTCTTCAGGGCCTAGAGCAGGGGTCTCAGACATGCAGCCCAGGGGCCATTTGCGGCCCCCCAGATGATAGTTTGTGGCCCTCGCCTTGCCTGGCCCCCCAAAGCGCCCACACATCCTCTGCTGGCAAGAGTAAAAAAAAAGCCTTGCCTCGCTTGCCAGCTCTCTCCCAAGACAGCACCTCTTGCACCCTCCATCCAGAACTGCAGCCTGCCAGCCAGCCCACCTGTCTGCTGGCTAAGGAAACTCCTGGGCGGCTTCCTCGGGCTCTTGCTCTGCTTGGCGGAAAATCTGATGCGGCCCACCCTCACCCAGACTCTGCCTCTAGCGGCCCCCAGGTAAATTGAGTTTAAAACCCCTGGCCTAGAGGCTGGCTGGGTTCCTCTGAACCACTCCAGATGAAAAGGCAACTCTGCAGAGAAAATGTTGGCAGGCCACAGATGTGACCGCCACAATATCTTGTTGACCCACCCTACGAGGCCTAAGGCTGTGGACATCCATGGGGTGGTTGTCGCCGTGGGAAGGGCAGCTGCCAATAACAGGCTGACTCAGGGGCAGAAGTGGTCTGGTTCTTAAATGGATAGTTGTACTCTGTTGCTTTTAAATGTGTGTCGTTGTTTTAGTTTTGATTTAATTTGCCAATTTTAATAGTATTTGTTTAATTTTTAAAAAATATTTATTTTTAGCTTTTAAATATTGTC